CCGGCCTCCAGACCGGGGCGAAGACGGGCCGCGCGGGCGCGGGGGAGCGCAGCAGGTCGCGGCGGCGGCCGGCGCGGAGTGCGGGGCGGGGGGCGGGGAGGTCGGGGGGGCGGGGGGCGGGGGGCGGCCGCCGGGGCAGGCTCAGCCCGAGCGGCGGGGCATGCCGCGCCGAGGCGGCGGCAGCGGCCGGACGGCGTGGAGCACGGGCGCGGCGCGAGCCCCTGGTCGCTCCGCTGCTCTCTCACAGCTCCTGGCGTCGCCGCTCTCCAGCGCCCGCGTCAGCGCCCAGCCCGCCTCAGCTCCGCCGCCGCCGTCGCTGCTGCTGCTGCCGCCGCGGCCGCTCCACTTCTACAGACTTGATTCTTCGACAGCCTCGCACGGCGCCTGCGCGGGCCCCCTCCCCTCGCGCGCGCGCCCGCCCTCCCCCGCGCTCGCGCCCTTCCCCTCCCCCCTGCGCGCTGAGAGGGAACGAGCGCTGCCGGGAGAGCCGGCTCCGCGGCGCCCGCCCGCGGGGCAGCGCCGCCTGTCCGCTCTGCGACCGGTGTCCCTGATGTGAAGGCGGTGGAAGCGTGGTTTGCTTCCCTCCAGCCGCTCGGCTGCCTCCACTACTCGGTCACCATTCCTCCCCTCCAGAACGTTTGAGACAAATCGTGCTAATGCTCGTGTTTTAAAAAGCAAGGCCACTTTGTGACTTGGTTCTGTCAGTCTCTTGAGGATGGGGATTTTAAATCTAGCGTGGTTCACAGTTTTGTTTTTTTAAGGAGTTACATTTGAACTCCACTAAGTGCTTTCACACTCGCATTTGCCTGGGAAGGACACACGCGCCGGCGGTGCCCTTAAGTTTTACTAACAGAGAGGAGTCTGTTCCCAAGCCAGGGACCACGTCCACAAGCCGTTCGGCGGAACCCTCCCGGAGGGGAGCGGGAGCGCCGTACCCCTCGCAAACCCCGAGACTTCCTCTCAGCCCCGCCCACCCTCCCTCCCGACCGGGAGGTCCTCGCGGCACCGGCGGACCCAGCCGCCTTATGTAGGACCGCGCGGCGGGCGCGTGACGTGGGCGCAGAGCCGCGGGCCCGCGTGCGCCGCCGCCGCCGCCGCCGCCGCCGCCGCCGCCGCCGAGTGCGCACGCTCCGCGCGGACGTGACTCGGCGCCGCTGGCACTGGCGGCCTCATTGAACGAATGCACATTCCAGGGATCCGGGGTCTACGGCCAGCGCGGTCGCGTCACCGCGCAGGCTCCGCCCCCTCCGCCGACAGTGGGCCTCTAGGCCCCGCCCCCGGGCCCAACCTTGGACTGGAGGTGGCGCGGGGCGCGAGCGCAGGGGTCCGCGCAGGCCGTGGGGGGTGCCTGGCTGGCCGGCCCGCGGACCCCGCAGGCAGCTGTTGCGCGGGGCCGGGCCATCGGCGGAAGTCCCCGGCGCCGTAGTGAGGCGGGACCGACCGCGCGGCCCAGGCCGGGTGTAGCCCCTGGTGTGTGCAAACCCGCCTGCAGCGAAGGCGGGGTGCGGCCGCCGAGCCTGCTCGGCCCGCCGCGCTCTGCCACGGTTGGCAGCCGCAGACTGTGCCCAGACTGAAGTGAGCACTCGAGTTTCACACTTCTATCGGGAGGAGGAGCTGGTGTGTGTTATGGTAAATCACTTTTGGCTGGTCGTTAGTCTTACTGACTAATAGACGCGGGCTTAGTCACTCTCAGTTGGGACTTAGACACTTCAAGTCTGTAAGGGCGGCCCTTTGGAGCTTCTTTTGTTGGAAAACAGGCCCACATCGCTCCCTGAGACTGGAATGGGCTGGTTAAGTGTGGGAAGAACAGGGTACTAATTATATTATCTTTCCTACAACTGGATTGGTAGGTGGAGAGAGAAAAAATCCTGCTGACGTTTCTCTCTAGTTGTTGCTATTGAAAATGCCAGGTTGCTTCAAAGGATTAACCACAAGGAAGAGGAAAAACACCCTTAGCGATACAGTGGAGGGAGCTGCCTAAAGCACATGAAGAAACCTGTTCCAAAGTGGCACAGAAAACGTAATGCCAGACCTAAATGTTTTTACAGGCCAGCCCTGCATGTCTTCTCTTGGGGGTTTCCAGAGAAGGTGTGCTTGCCATAAAGGTCTCCCCATCTGTTCCGGGATCTTGCTTGCAATTGCAATCCTGCCTCACTCTCTTCTAGCTGGGAGAATTGGACCTGCCCAGATCCTTCCCTGGAGCCCCTGGTGCCAGTGGGCTTGGTCACTCCTGGTACCTGCTGTCTGGAACCTCTTTCAGGACCTGCTCCTCTGGTCACTCTCCATGGAGCCCCTGTGCCACTCCTTGTAGCATGTGACTTCTCTCCCTGGGCCACTGCCCAAAGTGGACGAGGTCCAGTCTGTGTGCTGCAGAGAGACTAGCCATCTGAACACCCCCAAGAGATGGCCCCCACTAGGCAGTGACTGGAACATTAAAAACAACTACAACAACAACAGCAACCCTGTGTTAGAGGCCTGGCCTAATTATACTCATTTACCTGCAAGCTGGTACTGTAATACCCTGAAGGAAAGCCTGCCGTTTCATCCCAAAATAGAAATAGTGAGCTACAAATTCTGCCTTGAGAGGGACTAAGTAAGGATTTTTGTAGAACGGAGCTTTTCTTCTCCAAATGAAGGACATTTCCTTTTTATTTTACACTAGGAGTTTAATGTCGAAACCGAGTTGTTGTAACTTCCCTAATGAAATGCCTGCTGGAGAATGGAAAGGCTATTTGAGTTCTGGTCTCTCTTGCCATAAAAGGCTCCGGGATCAAGGGGGTTAAGGCTGGCCCTGGATCCGGGGCAGCAATTCCTTATATTGTATCAAAAGTCTTTCATGCTGCCTGGCCTTTCATGTAGCTCTGAAGCAGCTTTATCGATCTATGCTAAGTAAACATAGCTTTGTTTTCATCTTCCACCCTCCGCCCTCCCTCCCGGCACAGACTGGAGTTGGATCTCTTCCAAAGCGGCTGCTGCAGCAGCTACACCCGCCTCCTCCACACACAGAAGCAGGGTTTCTAGGGTGAGGCAATGCGTCTGCAATTCGCAGAGACAAGGCAGGAATTGTAATTGTAGTTCATCATGTGATGACTTATGAAAGAGGAAGTTGGTATGTTTTAGTCACGTAGACTCTGCCCTCTTGCTTAAGGCTGCAGGTCCTTTCAGAAGAGCATTATGATAATCTTTGCCATTCAGAGTCAAGGTTACCAGGTTGGCTGCAGGGTGCTCCTACACATTCATATGTGGACAGGCATGTGGATGCTGCACGAAGTGTTGGTGGGACAGTGGGTTGAGGCTGGCTTTTAACCAGCACGCTGAAATGCTGCAATTTGTCTTATGAACTAAAGGAAATGTTCTATGGGGAACACTTCTGCTGAGATTAGATTAGTCCTTTCCTGCTCTAATTTCTAAGATTTATTTTTTAAATAAAAATCACAGTTAAGGAGCAAAAGGAAAACTGTTCTGTATGATACCATCAAAAGGCAGGAATAAGGGAAGTGATCGGATGTTAAGCCAAAGGGAGCAGTTCTAAGAAATAGCTCAATGGGTGGAAGAAATCTGCCCTCCCCACACTGCGATTTACATGGCCCTCCACCACGTGAGCGTTTAAACATCTAAAATCTGAATCTGGTCCCCGGAGCGTACTCCAGTGGAGATGCTCTTGTTAACATACCACAGCCCTGTACTGACAGTCCACGGGGCAGTGTAAAAAAAAAAAAAAAAAAGTTGTTCCTTCCAGAGGACCCTGAGGGAACTCTGCCCTGAGGACAAACAGCGGGGGGAGGGTTGCAACGTGTGTGCTGTCCACGAGGTGGTATTCCTAGAGACTGCTGAGTTCATGCACTTCACCCTATATTCACATGTGGAATCACAGCCTTCATTCTTTAGAGTGCAGTTTCTATTAATAGCATGATGTTGCAACCATACTAGAGCTTCTTAAACTCTGACCCTGGCATATTTGGAGGAGGAAAAAAAAAAAAGGCAGCCGCGTGTCATTGGGATTTCTGTGGATAACAACCTCAGCTCCTTGTACTTGGGCAAAACGGCCATAAGATCAGAAGAGTGCATGTGCTACTCAGGGCTTTTCTACTTAAAAAAAAATTATAAATATGTACTTGAACAGATCTGTTTATATGAATACGTCTATACATACTATGGAGAGTCATGACACAAATGAACCTTCTGTAGTAGATAGGAGAGCCTTTCTTCTAAGTAATAGTATTTTATGAGACAGTTCTACTGGTTTTCAAATTGCAAATACACTTTTTTAGAAATACTTTCCCTCTGTTTGACCTCTCCCTGTAGCCTGCCTCCCCTGTGCACAGAATGCATTCAGATATTAAAGAGACTTTTGCATGTGGAGGAGATAAACTCTCTGTGGAGGGTCTAAGAATCAGGCCAAATAAAATCACAGGAGCTCTTAATCACCCACATATTATACACAGAAGCTGTTAGTCACCAGCCTATGTGTAAACATATGTATAGGTCCCCATTCAGAGTAAAA